GTCTAATCAGATTCAATGATCTATGCTAAGCTACAGCTAAAAGTGCTACCGCCAGACCCGGAGATCGGCTGCATGGATTCTAAAATGGTAAAACTCAACTGTTTAACTCTAGGGGAGTTGGAAAATGAGCCTATTTTCAAAAATAGTGGAGTGTTCCTTTAAGTATGAAAGCATGGGATATTTTCCCCTCCTTGTTTTCTTTATTGTATTGACCATCTTTCAGTATCAGACGGAAGCTTGTGTAGTCCAGTGCCAACTTAGACTGTAATTTTGTTGAAAAAGAAGTGTTTCAGATCCATCAGGTTACTGGCTGGTCCAATGATCAGAAGCTAGAGGAAAGTATTATTGCTATTATTATATAGTTTGTGTCTGGTTTTCAGAGAAATACTTGCTTGTGCCACTTGACGGCGCCGTTGCGTTCAGAAAGTGTTGCTACTTTAAACCCATTAGACTCTTGGAAAGGTGTTCGTCGGACCATCATCACACTTGCTGTGCAAATGAATACAGATCCAGACGTCTGCTAAACATGAAGTATTACCGGGTTAAAGGGAGAACGTCCCGAGCCAACCCACCTTTTGGAAAAACCCTCAGATTTGTTAAAGCGAATAGATTTTGCCAACCAGAGGAAGTCGGTTCCTTCAAACGAGTTCTGGTGCGGGTAGTTTCAGAAGGGGAGGAGGGTTACTGTGTTAGTATTCCATTGGTGAATGATGGGCGGGAGGGGGGCGGGGTTTAGCCAGAGTCAGCCTATGTGGTATACTAGTGCTCCGAGATGGTTGTTGTTTTTGGTGTCTGTGTTTTTTAAAACTATGATGTGATGGAGGAAGTGGGAAAGTGTGCAAAGTCCAAGTGGTTTAAGTGAAAGAGGGGGGAAAAAAGACAGTTGTTTTGTTTTCTTTGCCCACTGTCACTTCTCGCTTTCTATCTGTTTTTCGGCCAGATCTCGGCTGCACTCTCTGTGAGGTCTCTGTGAGGTTTCAAGTAATAAAACATTTTTTTCTGGCATCTGACATTCTTTTGTGGTTTATCCATTGATTGATGTGGTATATAAAGTGTTTTGACAGCAAGAAAAAAACATTGCTGAATGCAAATGATAAAACGGAACTAACCTTATGATTACGGCTTATTTTGGGCTGAGCAAAGGGTTAATTCATGAGGAAGAATGACAATGAAGCCATTACAATTTTCTGAATGACAAAACTTTATCTACATAAATTTAATAAAATTTAAAATGTTTTCACCTAAGAGTAGGTAAACATTATTTGTTTATCTGATTTCTTGGGACAGATTTTCATTGACAAATGGCAACATGTCAGTGATATATAGACAAAAAATAAACAGAAAAACTCGCATATTAAACAGTTGCAATTCATATTGCTTTTAGGTCTCGTTTTTACTTTTATATGTTATTTCCAAATGTTTAATGTTAATTTTAAGTTGTTCAAACAGGCATTTTTCATTCAATTTGACTATGAATATGGCAATTATGCTAGATTTTAATCATGATCCAATCAGAAACACCTTAATCAGCTCAATCCTATCTTCTTTTTCTTGTGTGTACATATATATATATATATATATTAGTCTCGTATTTTTTTATATATATTTCAAAGTATATATTTTTTCATACGTTGTTGCAGGTAACAGTTGCTAGTTTGTAAACTATTGCAGCATCTCGTGCCGACAGATTCTCCGAGCGCTAAGTGTGAGGCCTTCATCCCTCATTCATAAGAGGTTATTACGTGCATGAATAAATAAACCAGAGCATTCATATTAAACATCTCTTTTTATAACCATGCAGACAGGCACAGTTCCACACTCACTCTTTCTTCAGCGCATCAATGGCATGTAAAAACTCTGGTTCAGATCAATGACACAAGGACACACTTTCACATTCAGAGGCTCTACTTTTCCATTTTTATTTAAAGATGCCACATCGACATTATTTTGCAATGCGCATAAGCTATTTTTATGTGAATGTGTATTATCCGCTATAACTAACTGAAGAATAACAAAGAACAGTAGAAATAATAGTGCTACAAAGCAGTGTCATAGCAAATAAAATAAGTGAAAGCAATTGACACCGGAAGCCTCGCACATTCAAGTACAAATGGTTAAAAATAAGGTGGATAGTGATGGTTCACTCTTATGCCATTCCAGACCTGTATGTATATATCTATCTATTCACCAATTAAAGCTGTTATATTCTCATATGAACTGCACACTGTTGACCTAATCAGCATATGGACGTATTAATAATGAACAGAAGCCGTATGTCAACCACGTTCGTGAAGCTTCCTGTTCCAGTAAAATAGGATGAACTGGGAGAGTGAATGACTCCAATGGGATGCACATCTGACTGCCTGCTTTAACAGGTACATTAGTTTCTGCAGCGATCTGAATGAATCCGTCATACTCACTCAAGAATGCTGAAGATCTGGATTCTTCTTTGTTTTAATCACCTGAACTGAGTGATCACCTGTTGTTCTGCTGGGAGACCCTGGTCCATTGTAATTACTGTGCATCTTCACATGAAACTAAACAGGTTTTGGTGGGTCACGGTAAGGGTCAGAAGAACCTGATGCCCCGGTCTCTGCTTGCTCTTTGAGTCATACATTCAGGTTGTAAGATGCCACCCTGAACTGACAAAAGGCCCAATGACAAGCAAAAAGACCTCTTTCTCAGAGGAACACTCTTGAATGTCTTTTTTTTTCACCTCTCAGTTTCTTTATTTCCATTTTTCCATCTCTTTCCCCATGTGGTGATGGGCTGTCAGTGTAGAAGCACTCATGCGGATGAGTTTAGACAGGGATGAGTGGAGAGAAAGACAGCTACACTCTCAAAGAAAAGGTTCACTTCTATTTCTCATCCGTTGTGTATTTCTTCATTGCCACTAGATAGTATATATACAAAAGCCATGCTGACATTTGTTGTTAGATTCACTTTTCTGGCATAAAATGAACCACGTGCCTCATGGAGGCAACACTGTGTGACAATGGAAAGAAATTATGGTTTTTATAAATTATTTTTGTGAAATTTTGTGAAGATTTTCGAAAATATTCGCTGAAATGTGTAATTTGCTCATATCATACCTAAAATATAATTTATTTATTTATTTATTTATTTTAAAGAACATTGCAGTTGAACCATTTTTATTATGGAAAACATTTGTGTAATATACTTTTAGTAACACATGCCAGAATCGAATACAATTGGCTACTACATTTTTAACTAAATTGTACTTATTTGTACAGTTTTCAAATGATCAAACAGGCATTTTTTCAATCCACTTTATCAATGTAATAATGGGCAATTATAGTAAACCAAATGTAAATAATACATTTTAATCACTATCCAATGAAAAACACCTTAACATCACATCAGCTTCGACATACAGTAATTACCACAATCCTAACTTCTTCTTCTTCTTTTTTGTAAATACTTTTTTAGTTGTGCAACTGTGCAATTTACTGATATCAGAATACTGATATGTTTTAAAAAAAACAACACAAACCACTTTTTTTAGTAATCATTAGTGTAACATACTTTTACTGACAGAATATACATGACATGTATACGTTACATGACAGAATATAATAGAATTGGCTCCTTGAATAAGTAGGCCTACTTATTTGTTATGCAAATAATAATAATAAGGTTTATACATCAATACTAGATCTCATAACTGCAATATTCTCTATAAGTTTTTTTCTCTATGTTTTTTTTATTTGTTTATTCAGTCATTTCTTTATTATTAACAATTTTTGCCATTATCCATATTATTATTAACCGTAATGTTATGCGTGTTTTAAAGCGTCCAAATACTTTAAAATAAATGTTTATCGTTTAATAGTATTGTTTGATTTAATCACACAAGTCAAACGGCGTTCTGTTTATATACACACGCGAAGCCCCGCCCACTGAATGTTATCTGCCTAATTTACATACTCGAACCCCGCCTTCCGCCTACTCACGGCAGCGTCATGACGGAATATTATCCGGTTAATTTACATACCAAACCCCGCCCGCCGTGGCGAACATGTTCATACATCCACCCGGGATCATCCGCGGAAAAGGAAGAAAATCACAGGCTGTCAGAAAAGTTTTCCTGCGGGGAGAGGATCGGGCTCTATCGGACCGAGGACAGCCGGAGGATCGCGCTCTCAGGATTATTAATTGTCGCAATAAACTGTATTCATCATGGACGCGCTAAAATCAGCCGGACGCGCGATCATTCGCAGTCCCAGTCTGGCTAAACAGTCTTGGACCTCTGGAAAACATAAAAGTGAGTTTTACAGCTGTCAGTCTGCATGAATTTGCTTGGAAAGTAAACGGTCGTTAGTTCTTGAATATATCTGTTGATCTGTTATGAAGTTCAAGCTTGCAACTTGTGTGTTAAAACAGGAATTTACTCGTATTTACATGACATTTCATAACAAATCTTGAACTGTTCAAGTTTTCAAGGTCCGCTGTTTGTTAGTCAACTATTTTTTAGTGCAATTTAAAAGCAGTGTTCAGCAAATTACGCGTATTGTCATGACTGCTTTTTGTATTGTACAGATTTATATAGATTTGTTTCCAAAAGGGGCTTGGGAACCGATAACCGTTTCTTTTTCAGAACCGGTTCAGGTTTTAAATACCAAAACCAAATGATTTTCCTGGCGTTCGGTTTTTGACAGTCTGTCCTGCGCTGATACTCACTGAATCTACAGCGCGATCAGTGTTAGTTCGATTCCCGAACGAACGATTCTTCTGAACCGGTTCCTTATAGTGAATCAAAACCAAACAGCGCGATCGGTGTACCCTGATTCCCGAACAAATGACTTTTATGATCCGTTTTTTTTTTTTTATGTGAGTCGAAAACATACTGCGAGATCAATGCCGTGCGATTCCCAAACGAATGATTCTTATAAACCGGTTCTTTAAAGTGAATCAAAAACAAACAGCGCGATCGATGTACACCAATTCGCGAACGAATGATTCTTATGAGTCGGTTATTTTCTGGAGGAGCTGCAAACATACAACGCGATCAGTTCGATTCCCGAACGAACGATTCGTCTGAACCGATTCCTTATAGTGAATCAAAACCGAACAGCGCGATCGGTGTACCCTGATTCCCAGATGTATATGAACTGAATCTGGTGTTTCGTCTTGCTTTGGAGAGCATGGCAGTTAGTGGTTCAACGGATCACAAATCTCACGGTTCGGATCATATTACGGTTTTTGAGGCACGGATCGGATCGTTTTTCGGATCATCAAGAAATATATATATATTTGCTTTACATAAGTATGATACCACAGTAGAAACACTTAGCCTAAGAAAGCTCAAACATTATTAAAGAGACAAGTGAACAGCCAGTAAAAATAAGAACAAATAGGCTATACAAATTACAAGCATAGATAAATACAACAGAACAATGTTACAAATAAGGTCGGTAGTATTCAGATACAGAAATGTAATAATTAAGTGTAAAATAAAACTGCATAGTGTTCACTGTATAAATTAAAAAATAGATTCATCTTTGTCAAAAACGTGTTTTGTGGTTTGATGAGCATAATGACAGCAGCAGGTATTATTAGGCTGCTGCCCCTTTAAGACCTGATGCACGGAT